TTCGTTAAAAAATTTCTTATTTTCCACACTTAATAAATATATTTATTTTAATTTATACGTTTTTTTTTAACTTTTAATTAAATCCATTATTATTTTTTCTTCCTTAAATAAATTAATTATATTTTTATTCGTTTATATATTATAATTTTTTATTAATTTAATTAATTTTATATTAAACTTTTAATTCATTACGTAATAATATACGTTATTTTATATGGTTACTTTAAATACACGTTTTAATTTTATAACGTTTAAAATTAATAATTTCGTTTTTTTAAATTTTTTTATTTTTTATAATATATTATAAATGTTATTTACCGTTTTATTTTTTATTATTAATACGTTATAAATGTCGTTTTTTAAATTAAATTTATTATTAAAAAAAAATTTTATATTATTATTATTATCGTATAATATTATTATTTAAATTAAATTCGCTTTTTTTTATAACATTTTAAAGTATTTATTATTTATTATTTTTTACATGTTTTCCATATATTAATATTAATATATAATTACCATGTCGTTAATATTATTTATATAAATAATATTTTTTATTAATATTATATTATAAAAATTATATATTATACCCGGGAAATCCGAAATAAATTTAAAATTTTTTCTTTTAAAAAAGTTAATATAATTTATAAGGATTAATATAAACGTATATATTAATATTTTTATTTAATTTTTAATAATTATTTTTCGTTTTTATAGTAGTCTGTTTATGAGAATTGAGGTTGAAATCATTGTTGTATTAAGTTAAGAATTTTACAACTTGTGAAGTTATGAAGAATTATCATGTACTAAGTTAGTCAAGCCTGTCAAGCTAACTGTTCCTTGTTCCTGCCATAATTGATCTCATCCTGATCCTAACATCTGCCCCTCACAAATAAAAAAGATGACGTCCTCGTTATCATGGCCGTCTCTTGGTTGGTATTATGCGGTCCAGGACGTTTTCATCTCCTTGTTATGTTAGAGCCTGTTTTACCTCTTTTATTTCTTGTAGCACCTTATTTAATTTATTGTTCACCGTGCCCAACTGCCTTCTATGTTCCGTTAGTGCTTATTGGATTATCTATGTTTTGTCTTCTTATCATCCCTGGACTTTCGTCTAAAACTCAGGTATGACTTTTTCCTCTTGCATAAGCCATACTAGACCACTTTCTCTAAGCTATTTGTCAATTGTTTACGGCATTGTTCCGTATCCGAGTTTGGCATCTCCCAGCAGTTGTAGCATTTCCAAGGCATCGGGGTCTAGTAGCTTAAGTATTGTGTTCTTTGGTACCTTAGTTGCATCCCAATCATATTTCAAGCCAAATTTCTGTACACGTTCCAGAGTTGCCTTTATTTAGCGGTATAAATAGGTTGTCGATATTTTTTAATGCATTGGTATCTTAGTAAGAAAGCCGACTACTTTCTCCTTATCAAACTACTGCCAAATCCCAAAACTTCCAATAACGAGGGAGTAGAATGTTCTCGGTGACTTTATACCTTGTAACAACTGCACTTTGTTGACGTTGTGTGCATTCTTTTCGAATATGGCTCGTTTATCCTTGATGTCATGTTCGTTCCACTCTTGTTGGCGCTGTACCACTGCCTTCACGTGTCTAACAAACCAATCCTTACCAAATTCGTTCAGCTAGTCTTCTGTCGGGTTGATGGTGTCTACTCCCCATGCGACTTTGTCAAAGGGCGCCATTACTGTGGTGTTATGTGGGTTGATGATGTTGTATAGACTGATGATGTTGTGTAGGCTGCTGATGTTGTGTGGGGAAATGTCGCGCGCTGTTGTAGTTGTGGAATGAAGATCTCTTGATTGGCGTTGTTGTAGGGAAATATTTTAGTGTTGGAAGAAAATGCGCGGGGGTGCCAGACAAGTTCAACATGGTGTTGCACAGACCCCAAAAGATTCATTCTTTCCTCACCAGTGCTCCTTCCTTCTCTTTTTTCCACTTATCCTCGAGCTGTTTTTTCGTTGGCAGCTCAATCCTGATGTTTGTCTTTGGTATGTCAGTTTTTGTCGCTGTGTCGGGCTTTCGTTCCCTATCGACGCGTCGTATCCTCAGTTCATCCGAAGTCATCGGATTCTTTCTGTCGAATTCGTCCACAAGCTCTGTCGCATTCTGCATCAATAGCTCTCTCGGGTACCATGCGTCATATAGTGCTGAATAGCCCTTCCAACAAACCAAATACTCCAGTATCGGTCGTCCGCCTTGCTTATTTACCCTTCGTCGTAAGAGTTTCTCGATCTCATATGAATGCCATTTATCATCATCGCCTTCTATTATTATCCTTCCCGGTTGTGGCTTGCGTTTTTTATATAAATCCGTGTCCTGTGGGATTTGGTACAGGTGGGTAACAGAGACTACCTTGTTTATCCTCCACGCATCTAGGATTTTTAGCCTATATGCCAGGTCACCGATTCGTTCCTCAATTGCGATCGGTCCCACTCTTTGGATGTCCCATTTCCTCAAAGGATTCCCTAGCAAATTATATCCTTTGTGTAGACGTAGATAGACCAAGTCTCTAACTTTAAAGGATATTGGTTTGTGCTTGTCGTCGTACTATTGCTTTGACTTTATGGCCGTAAAATCTATAGCCGCTTTTGCCTCCTGTTAGTATGCCTTTCGGAATGTCTCAAAATCGACGCTGTTCACTAAGGCCTCCAAGGCAGACAAAACCGATTGTGGCTTAAAACCCAGTGTGACCTTGTTTGGGCTTCTGCCTATTGCTCGTGATTTTACGTTATTTATATTGTGTTGTAATGCCGGAATAATGTTAGACCATCTTGCTTCTGATGCCGAACAGTGGTATTTCAAGGCAATTTCCACTTCCTGGTTTCATCGTTCTGACTGCCCATCCGTTTGAGGATGATACAACGTTAACATTGCCAAAATGGTTCCCATTCGCAAGAATAATATCTGCCAAAACTTTGAGGTAAACTTCGGATCTCTGTCCGATATGACCTTTGATGGAATTCCCCAGTTGTATAACATTAGTGCTCTCAGCACCTGCTCAGCCCATGTTGCTGCACTGTACTTCGTGTTTCCTGGGATTAACATTGCCTTCTTGGAAAACTTACACGTGGTGACTATCAATGTGTTGTAGTAGTCATGTTGGCTTATTGCCCATGGCGTGTTCTTCAAAGGTATCTTGGGCAATCCAACTATAAAGTCCCAGGCGACCGTATGGTACGGTTGTAGCGGGGAATCTATGGGCTGTGATTTTCCATATGGCTTGCTTCTATCCGTCTGGTTCTCGTGGCATTATGGATAATGGCGTATGTACTCGCGGATTTTTCGTGTTTGTCCTTGCATTTGGATATGTTGTAAATCGTGGATCATTCGTCCTGCTCCAAAGTGGTGTTTCGCATCGTGTGCTAGTGCCAGTATTTCATGTGTGTAATTCGACGGGATTACAAGCCTGCGTTGGCCTATGGTTCCCATATGATACATTAAACCATTTTCTAACACATGTCGATACTACTTGGTTACATCCTTATTCCGCGCTTCTGCCTTTTGTAGCGTGTCCAACAGCTTTTTCAGCCGTTTGTCTTTCTGGTACCTGTCTATGACCTTCTGCTTGAATCGCTCGTTAATCGTCACTTCGTGTGTCACGTACGCACATTCGTCGAACACATCCTCCAGTACCGATTTGTCACTGTCCGCTTCCTGTTGATCGTAAAAATCAGGCATGGTTGGCAAGCGTGACAGCGCGTCGGGCACTAGGTTTAATCGTCCCGCAATGTGGTGGATGTCCAGGTCGAATTGTGATAGGTATGTTAAAGCTATTATGAGCTTATTGTTCATCTTGTTCATATCAACTGTTCGCAGAGATTGCTGTGCGACAATTCCTTTTGTTGCCTTATGGTCTGTGATTACTTAGATTCTCTTCTTGCAAGATTATAGTTGAATGCGATTCGTTCGTGCTGCCCACACCAAACATGCCACTTCCAGTTCCGTTGCTCCGTATCTCGACTCGGCCTTTATTAAAACCTTGGACATGAACAATATTGGTTTGACTCTTGTGCTGGCAAAATTCAGTGTTCCATCCCATTCTCCGTCCAAGTAGAAAATCATTACGGCTAAACCGCGTTGCTTCGATGCATCTATCTTGACAAAAACGTAATCGTCATGGTCCCAATGGGATAGAATTAGGAGGTTGGTGAGTTCCTTTTGTATGATCTTGAACGCGAGCTTCTCTTCGTCCGTTGGAGTAAACTTTGTCCTTGCTATAAACTTTCGTCGGGCAGAGGTTTTCGAAGGTACCGCTTTCTTTTCCTTCGCTGCAGCCAGCATGGCTGTTTTTCGATCTTGCAGGGGCTTAATTTTCTGCTGATACCAAGGGATAAACTTCCTGAGATACCCTGTCATTCCGATATATGTCTCCAAGTCGGCTAATGTCTCTGGCATCTTTATCTTCTTTATGGCCTTGGTCCGTTCCTCTGTCAGTGCTATGCCGTCCCCATTCACGGTGAACCCCAATAACGTGATGGACGCATAGCCTAAAAATGATTTCTTGGGTGACAAGGCTAGTCCAACGTCTTGAAATGTGTCGAAAATCTGGTCCAAGTGGTCAAGGTGCTCGTCTTCCGTATCTGAGAAAATTACGATGTTATCAACGTACGCCTTGGCAAAGGACTCGAAGGGGTGTAGCCTTTGGTCCATAAACCGTTGACCAAAAGCTGGTGAGTTCTTAAACCCCATCAAAGCCACGTTGGACACTTCCAAGCCTCTTGGGGATATTACCGTCATTTTATCTCTGTCCTTGAGGGCGACCGGCAGTTGGTGGTAAAATGCGTGACCGTCTACCACTGAAAAGAATTTTCTGCCCTTCATCAGTTGGATAACTTCTTCCTGTCGTGGTAGGGGATAAATATCCGTCAAGGCTGCTTTGTTCAGGGCTCGTAGGTCAATCACGACCCTTCCTTTCTTTTTTCCGTTGACCATCTTCCAAACCATAAAACAAGGACATCCGAAAGGGGTGGCTCTTTTCATCTATTCCATCTTAGTCTTATCATGCATATCGCCGAAAGTTTCGTCGAGAAATTTCCTGTCTTCCATGCCTAATGGATACATTTGTCCTGGTTTGTACGTCTTTTCCCAGCCTTCAATCAGATCCACTGTCATCTTTTCTTCCTCGGGTAGATCGATCACACCCTTATCCGTCCATACGTCGTAACTCTCTGCCAGCTTAGCTAGTTTCGTGCCGAACTTTCAGTTTGTTGCGCAATAATATACGCCATCTCGTGTGGTTACTTCGGGTATGCGTTCTGGTCTTGTAGCGCCTAGGGTCGGTAGTTTCGTTTCCTTGAACCCTTCTGCTTTCTATAGCATATCGCGAATGTCATCTACCGTCTTGTCTTCTGTCATCAATGCGTCACAAATGTTGTCTTCTAAATCGAACTTGTTACTAAAGAAAAACTCTGCATTGTCACTGCTATCGCATAATGCCGCTGCTTAGGCTAAATTCGCTTTTTCCCATGACGTCTTGAAATATCCGTCACTTATTACTTCTTACATGTTTCCCATACGTTGATATCGGTGTATGACTACCGTGTCGTTAGTGTTGTTCATGTAAGCAATACCTTTTGCCGATGTCGCGTTGTGAAAACTGTACATCGCACCCGGGAAATCCGGAACAAACTCGAAATCTCTTCCCTTGGGGAGGTTGATGTAATCTACAGGGATTGGCATAAACGTATGTGCTGGTATCTCTATCCGATTTTTGACAACTACCTTTCGTTTTACTACTCGTGGTTCTCGGCAATATCGTATCGGGATTCGCATTCCCGGACAACCTGAAAATATTACGGTATCCTTCTTATAATTGATTATTGCTCGGACTTATCCTAGAAACTCATTACCTAATAATATGTTGGGTTTGAGTCCTCTGTCGTTTATCCATACGTCGATCAATGTTCGTACCAGTACCGGTCGGTTGTCGTTGTCCAATGCACGTATATGCAAATAAAACCTTACCTTTTCCTTCATCTCAAGTATTCCGGATATAACGCTTCGTATGCCTATTGGTTGGTCTAGGGTATATATCTCGTAGTCCCCAACGAATTTGTCCAACCATTTTCGATCAACCATTATATTTGAAGCTCCACTATCTGCGCATACCGTCGATTCATCACCCGCGTCATTGACCATCCTGAGCTCTATGCTGGTATATTTCTTTAACGTCGCATTATTCCGCATGTCAGGGGTGAGGTCATAAATCGGGATGTTTGTCGCCTCCCTCGCCACCAAGCCATTACCAATAATCATTGGCTTATACTTCCCTTCCACCTTGTCAGTGGCGTTGTTTAGTTCAGGTAATTGTTCCTCATCGGGTAGAGTGCCTGTGTCTGATTCCCAAGGCTCCCTGCCGATCTGAGGTTGGGCGAAGTACTCATCTTCAATTTCCTCGACATATGGAGGAACATACTGGCTTGTCTTTTGAATCCGGTCAGTAGAGATTCGTCAACCAGATCGACGTGTTTTCCGTGGCGAATAGCCTAATTGGCTAGGCTTTAGCGGCGTGCACTTATTGGCATATACATATCTGAAACAGTTGCTTCTGGTAGTAAAATGTTTCCCACATTTACGGCAGGTGAGTCGGGTATCTAACATGTCACGAGCATTTAGATGCTTAAAATAGTTATACTCGTCGGATTCGTCTTCGATCTCAGACTCTTCGTACTCTTCCATCAAAAAGTATTCCTCTTCGTTCAGTTTCGCCTCCTCCTTTTCACAAGTATCATAATCTATCTCATATTCTACCAAATCTATTAAATATGCTTCATTATTAGGTCGTCTGCCATTCTTAGCCTAAAGTCTAAATCGACCATAAGGTCGGCCATTGGTCCGATATTTGTTGTAACCTCCATATCGATAAACCTGTCTACCATATCTATTCCTATAACAACCTCGTGGCCTTCCGTATCCCCGGCGCCCGTCATTACGTTGGCGTCTATCTCGTCCACGCCGATCGTCTCGGTTGTCCCGACCGTCCCGACCACGGTTCCGATCACTGTTGCGGTCGTATTATGGACGATATCGGTCACCTCCGCCATTGCCGCTTGGTCCAGGTTGCTTTCCATAATATGCGTCAAAAGCGTCGAAACTTTCACCCGTATCCTCGGCATTGTTCGCTGTCCCTGTCAACAATTTATCATTCAGCGAGAGTCCTTTGATCAGGCGTTCCTGTAATGTCAATCCTTCTGTTCTCAAATCCTTCTTTCCTGTGGCAAGCAACTGACTCCGCCAGGCCTTCTGTTAGTTGCTCAAATACCCCAGGTACTCTTTTAGTGACATGTTTCCTATTGGTCGCGTCACCAGAACGCGGAAATTGTCGTCGAAGGTATTGTAAATAGTTAACAAATGTTGGGTTAATAAGTTCATCTACAATGCTCAGCAATTCCGCATTACCTCCATGGCCCATTCTTTCATCGATTTATCGCGTAAACAATCTTCCTTGGTAAAACGAGCTTCCCGCAGGAACTTTGATGTATCTGCCTTATTAATTTTGTAATGCTCGAATAATCGCTGAAGAGCATATTCGATATCTCCGGTTATTCGAGCCCGGTCCGCCTGCAACAATAATATTATCCACCACTATTGCGCTAAACCTTTAAGGAGTTGGGAAAACTTCTGCGCAATAGCCTTCTCTTTTGCTTCGGTTGTCTATGCTGCCCTCACAGAATCAATAAATAAATAGATACTTCTCCACACGGTATCTTTTCTAATTGTCACACAATCCCCAAGCCCGTATGATGCCGGTAGGTCTGGTTGGAAAAAACCGATGTCGCGTATACTCCATTTGTCTCGGTCGCGTGGGCTTCGATTATCAAGGAACCTTTCTAACAAATCCAGCATCCGTGTTATGTTGTCGATTTGGCGTCCGCCGCGCGCGGGCGGGTTGGCCTCTTCTCCACCGTCCGACATGTTGCCGTTGTTTATCTGCGTGTCCTTCGACGGTGCTGCGTTGGACTGCGTATTGTCGTTAGTCGTTTGAGTTGCTGTGGATTGCGTGTTGTGACTGGTCGTTTGAGTTGCTATGGATTGCGTATTGTCACTATTGGTTTGAGTTACTGTGGATTACATGTTGTCACTAGTTGTTTAAGTTACTTTCGAAAGAGTCTTAACGCTGGTTTGGTAGATTCGCGGTAGTAGGACTAATAATCTTCTGTATGGGCCCGGTCTAACAAATTACAAAGGGTTCTCTGGTAGGTACTATTGTGCGTTAATGTTTGAGAAGGAGTTTGCTTTAAGATGTGTCAGCTGTTTCGCAGGTTGACACATTGTTGGAGCTGGTAGTGGTGCTTGTTCTAGATAAGATGAAATAGGTAATAATAATCTTTATATATGTTGTTAGGGTATTGCAGGGTTTAGAATTGTTATCCGATTATCTATTATCGGGGAATCGGACGTTGGAACATTAGACACTTATTTATCCGATATGGCTGACACATTTGATGTCAGTGGATTGCTTGGGTTGGAGAATTGTGTTATTAATGCTGGAGGGGCTATCTGTACTTGGTTGGAGGGATATGTGCGTTCTGTGTGTCGTGGCTGAATGGGACTCAATTCAACATCTTTTCCTTTGTCCTTAAGTTTGCGTCCACGGAAAAATCTTTGTATTGTTGCCGTAAAAGGTGTTCTTATGGGTGTTGACACTAATGAATATGCTGAGACTAAATCCGAAAATAGTGTATCCAATGGTTGTTCCAACTTTTGACGCAGGGATGTTTATTATACTTGTTCGGATGGAGATGATCCTTGTAGCAACTATGCTGGTTCTTGTGCAGACTTTGATAGTTCAGATTCTAATAGTTGCTATACAGATTCTGATAGTTGTTATACTAATTCCGATTTAGATCCATGTGCTGATCTATGGGCTGATCCGTGGTTATCGGTAGGAGATTTATCCGTTGGCAAAGATTTTGGTGACAGCGATTTAACGACGTTGCTTAATATAAAGAAGAATTTATGTTTGTCCATAACCCATTCGGGGTTGTATGTTAAAGGAGACTTCGAAGAATTCCTTATGCTTCGACCGACACTTATGATCTTGGGTTTGTGGCTTGCCTTCTCCAATGTCTGAACACAAGCGAAAATCAAATTCTTCTTTGTGGCGTCTATGTTCTTTACCTACTTCAGGTTGTCTTGGTCACGGAAGAAAGTGGTAATTTGGAAAACTTATCTGTCCATTCCTAACATTATTTGCCAGAATAAACTTTAAAGAATATCAGAGCAAAACTTAGGATGGGTTAAATGACGAACATAATATAGACAGGTAGGTGCTAGGTTAAGTACTAGGTTAAGTACTAGGTTAAGTCTTGAGTAAAGGCGGGATGGAAAAATAAGAGACGGGTTGCCTGGAACGAAAGTGGTTAGGAATTGAGGCTATTCGGATCTCCTGGCAAAAAATCTTCCTCTGTTTGTATTGCCGGTACAAGCGGGCGATCAAACAAAAGAAAAAGGTCGTCACTCAGATATAGGCTATGGGCCCTTTCTGAGCAGGTCTTAGGAATTGGACGCCCCCGAAGGGAGCAAGAAGAGGTGCTACCAATTATGGTAGTCTGTTTATGAGAATTGAGGTTAAAATCATTGTTATATTAAGTTAGGAATTCTACGACTTGTGAAGTTATGAAGAATTATCATGTACTAAGCTAGTCAAGCCTGTCAAGCTAACTGTTCCTTGTTCCTGCCATGATTGATCTCATCCTAATCCCAACAGTTTTATTATTTATAATTTTCGGTAATATTATATCGGGATTTATATTTTTAAATAATTTAAAAACATTATAATATTTTTTTTATAATTAATTATCGTTTAAATTTATTTTAAAAACTTATTATTTAATAATATATTAAATTTAAATTTTTTATTATTTATTTATATATTAATTAATATTTATATTAATACCGGTTAATTATTATTATTTAATATATATATATATAAATAAAATTTTACTTTTTTTTTTATTTTAAATATTTTAAATATAATATTTTATATATTTATTAATTAATTTAAGGTATATATTTTATAATTTTTAATAAATTTATTTAATTATTTTTAATTAATTATTACATTTAAAATTCCATTATTTACATATATCATTAATTTATTACTTATATTATTAATTATTTTAAACTTTATATTAATATATTTTTTTAATATTACATTATTTTATATATTAAAAATAAAGTTATAAATCGAGATATTTATTACTTTTTTTATTATTAAACCATTATTAATAATTATTAATTTATATTTTTTTTTTATTTTATTAATAATATTATTTAATTTAAATAATTATTTTTTATTAAATAAAATATTTATTTTTAATTCCTAAAGTTTTTTATTAATTTAAAGTTAAATAAAATATTTATTTTTAATTTTTTTAATATATAAAAAAATATATTAATTTATTTATTAAATCCGGTTAATAAAAATTTATTAATTAAATTAATATATTTTTTATAATAAATAATTTAATTAATTAAGTTTTAATAATATACATTTATTAATATATATATATTTAAAATAATTACTTTTTAATAATAAAATATTTTTTATATTTATAATAAATAAATTAAATATTTAACATGTTATAAACATTTAAACGCTTAAAATAATTATATTCATTAAATTTATTTTTAATTTTAAATTTTTCGTATTTTTTTATTAAAAAATATTTTTTTTTATTTAATTTCGTTTCTTTTTTTTTATAAATATTATAATTTATTTTATATTTCATTAAATTCATTAAATATATTTTATTATTAAATTATTTATTATTTTTAACTTAAAGTTTAAATTAATTATAAAATTAATTATTAATTTAATATTTATTATAATTTTTATATTAATAAATTTATTTATTATATTTATTTTTATAATAATTTTATAACTTTTCGTATTTTTAACATTTATTATTATATTAATATTTATTTTATTTATATTAATCGTTTCGGTTATTTTAACCGTTTTAATTATAATTCCGATTATTATTATAATTATATTATAAATAATATTAATTATTTCCGTTATTATTATTTAATTTAAATTATTTTTTATAATATATATTAAAAACATTAAAATTTTTATTTATATTTTTAATATTATTTATTATTTTTATTAATAATTTATTATTTAATAAAAATCTTTTAATTAAATATTTTTATAATATTAATCCTTTTATTTTTAAATTTTTTTTTTTATAATAAATAATTAATTTCATTAAGTTTTTTATTAATTATTTAAATATTTTAAATATTTTTTTAATAATATGTTTTTTATTAATCGCATTATTAAAACATAAAAATTATTATTAAAAACATTATAAATAATTAATAAATATTAAATTAATAAATTTATTTATAATATTTAATAATTCCGTATTACTTTTATAATTTATTTTTTCATTAATTTATCACATAAATAATTTTCTTTAATAAAATAAATTTCCCATAAAAACTTTAATATATTTATTTCATTAATTTTATAATATTTAAATAATCGTTAAAAAATATATTTAATATTTTTAATTATTTAAACTTAATTCACTTATAATAATAATATTATCCATTATTATTATATTAAATCTTTAAAAAATTAAAAAAATTTTTATATAATAACCTTCTTTTTTATTTTAATTATTTATATTACCCTTATAAAATTAATAAATAAATAAACATTTTTCTATATAATATTTTTTCTAATTATTATATAATTTTTAAACTTATATAATATTAATAAATTTAATTAAAAAAAATTAATATTACATATATTTCATTTATTTTAATTATATAAACTTTAATTATTAAAAAACTTTTTTAATAAATTTAATATTTATATTATATTATTAATTTAATATCCGTTATATATAAGTAAATTAATTTTTTCTTTATTATTTAATATATTACCGTTATTTATTTATATATCCTTTAATAATATTATATTAAATTATATATTATCGTTAATTATTTAAATCGTTATAAATTACATGTTATAATTAATTATTTAAATTATTATAAATTATATATTATTATTATTAATTTAAATTATTATAAATTATATATTATTATTAATCGTTTAAATTATTTTCGAAAAAATTTTAACATTAATTTAATAAACTTG